GTTAAAATCTTTAAAATATAATTATTCATTTATTTAAAATTTTATGAAATATATAAACTATATTTCCATGAATACGTGAATGTCATACGTAATATATTTTATGAATATAAAATTATTTAGATACGTTAGAATTTTATGGTAACAAATTCAATCCCGGAAGTAAACATCTTGACACATATTTATTTATGTAGATTATAATATTTTGAATAAGGATGCCATTTTAATAGCATACCAACGAGAAATTTACCATCGAATTTCTACTTGGATCAGCACACCACTAGCCATTGTAATGTTAAACCAATATAGATTTATAATTGGGATGTAACCCTGAACAAACAGTCAACATTAATGCTGGCAGCAATTGTAATCAACAACAATGATCTCAGCAACCAGTACCAACAATTTTACTTGTAATAAGTCTTACAATGATGTAGTATTGTTAATGATGGTTTTTGTAGTATCGAGATTTAATTGCTACTCGAAATTTTGTTGTTAATATTAATAAATTAAATCACATAACGTTAACAAAATTGTCAGAATACAGAATAACATGCATGAAAGTCCTGTCGTACACTTTAAAACATGGTGTTGCTCTAAATGGCCTATATACAACAATCCTCTAACCTAAACGTGTATAAATTTCGACGCATACCGGTTCTTTATTGTGCAATTTATATTATTAATGTATTAATAAAATCTGTAAGGAAAGTTATAAAGAAAGATCTGTGACATGCTTTTGAAAGAATTTTATTTTTTAAGCTTTTTCTTTTTACTCTTTGACGCACCAACTAATAACAGTTCGATGATGAAAATCGCAAATCAAACAGTGTCTAACAATCTTTAATCGGTGTGGGTTTAACATAGATCCTGGATCGAATTTAAATTAGAATGTTAACCAATCGCCGAATGGATAGAACCACCGAATACCGGTAGTTAGTCGCGGGGTTCGCGCCTTACCAACAGGCTAAACTGGCGTTTTTCCGCGTCTAATACCTAAATAGGGGCCATGTCTCCTATAAAATTCCTCCCGGGAGTCACTTTCCCTTTGACAGATCACCGTGTGTTGCATTATCCTACCGTCAAGACGTAAGATAAGGATAACAATAACACTTTGTCAATCGACCCTGTGCTGATCCTCAACCAACAATCGTGTTACAACTGACCCAGTTTAATCTTCAATACGTAATTTTCTACGTGGATTAAGATTAGCAAGGTTAATAAACCTTTTGATAATCTTACACTCTGTAATATATATAATCATAGAAAGTCTGTATTAATGTTAGTTGAGTATATATATATATATATATATATGATTTTTTTCATATTTTTAGATATATTATGTGTAGGAAATCCGTAATAAATTCGATCAAGTACCCCTACGACCCACTAATGTTATAAAATGGGAAGTAAATGCCCCGAAAGTTTTTCCTATACACAGTATATAAGCAATCTGTCAACAAACTTACGGCATTTATATATATATAGGAGGGCCCAAAATTCAGTTAAACCACTGTAAAAACTAAATTACTGTCTTATTTGAGTAATTAAATACTTAATTAGTGGAAACGTGATATAAAAAAAAACAATTTTATAAAAGGAAAATCGTTATACTAAACTTAGTTTATGATTCATCAAAAACAGAAGCTGTAACGTCAGTTATCATGATTGACGAAAAATTCATGTTTAGGGGTGTACAAGAATAATTACTGCTTCTATACGTATATATATATATAGCCTATATATATGTATATATATATATATAGCAAGACTGTCAAGGTAGATGACGTTTAACACAACCGTCGTGTAGTGTCGTACTTAGATGTACCTAACATTCGCCGTACAGCCGGTTTAGTACGAAAGTTTTCATTGGCCAGAACTTTGTACCATCTTTGGACGAATCTTGTCTTCTCACTGGTTGTATTACCTCAGCTTTACAGTAGCCTTGGCTCCTAAATTTTGATTGATGTATTGTGACGCAATCTTACTGTCTGAATATAGACATAGTTGTTTGATTTTCGTAAAATGCATATAAATTATCTTATTTTCTTTCATTTTTCTTTTTAAATTTAACTTTTAGTAGTGATGACTGTACAAACTCGTTAGGTTGGTGAGGTATGATAGGTATTTTTATATGTAATTCGTAAGGGTGATGAGTTTTATATGTTGTGAATTATACAGAATTAGTTTTTNTTGATATATTTATTATTATTATTATTATAATTTTCTTTTTTTAAAACCACGTGAAATTGAAGACTTTTTGAAATTAACATATTTTAAAATTTGAAATTGATGTAATTTCTAGAATATTTTCTCTAGAATTTCAATTATTTAAAGAGGTAAATGACTAGAAAAAAATCTTGAATATTTCTTTTATTAATTTTTGAAATTTATACAATTTAGAAATTTAAAAAATCGAATTTATTAGATTTAGAAATGTCTTTAGAAATAATTCCATAGAATTAGTAATTTTTTTTTTTTTTTTAATATTTGAAAGATATACATTTTAAAATAGAAAAAAAAATTTAAAATTTTAGAATATTAAATAATAATAAATTTTTATGTTTAAAAAAATATAAGAAAGATGTAACATATTAAGAAAAATAAATAAATAATAGTGGAAAAGACAAACTAGTAAACTGTAGATGCCCTTTCCTGAATGTGCAAGGTCATGCATGAACTGAATGCCTGACCTAAAAATAGATACGTAATCTTTATTTTGTGTTTTAGAAGATGTGATAAAATAGAAAAAAAATGTATATATATGATAAAATCATTTTGAAATTTCTAATTTTAGAACGTATCTACTTATATACAAAATGATGCTATTTTTAACTAATGTAATGGGGATTATCTTGTTTATGTGAATTGTAACAGTTATAAGCCCTGTTATTTACCACTAAAGTGTCAAGGCCAAAAAAATGCCCATCTGTTTATCGTTGTCGAGAAGGTGAATTTAGATATTGGTGTAACATAAAACCTTCCAAAGGAACAATATATATATATATATATATATTTGTTATTACATTCTTTAAAATGTTAAGAAATACTCCATTTTCAGTGAGAATATTTTAAGTATTGTAATAAATATTAAGTAATTTAATTAATATGCTCTTAAATAATTTTTATATGTGATACTATGTTATGTGCTTGCCTTAAAAAGCATAGTTATGGGTTTAAATAAGAACTTACGAGCTGTAAGAAGGAATAAATGTGTTCAAGATGTCATTTAGAAGCAATTATTTTAATTTAAGCAACTAGTAAGACGTACTCCCATGTTACACGGTTCTAAATGATATCTTGAACACGTTATATATATTATTTAAGTTAATTTTTTATTTATTTAAAAAGTTTTTTAAATAAATAACATCGTATAAAAGAATATCTTGAATATTTTATCAAGAAATTATATACAGTAAAACCTGTGTAAACCGGACTAGCACGGTACCGAATATATTTTCCGGTCTGGCAAGTTTCCGTTTTGAACGGGTCTTTTTTTTTTTCATAATACAGAAAATCGCCGCATTTCGAAGAATTCTTTCCTCTTAGGCAGGTTTTCGTTCTGAACAGGTTTCTACAGGAAAAGCATAGGAGAAACTTTACATAATGAGTATTATGAGCTGGAGTGATGTACAGTAGCACCGTTGGGAAATTTATTTACGAAACTGATCCGTAATAAAAGAGGATAGAAGTTGAAAAGGTCTCACATTTGTATTCAACACTCTAAACTAGTTATAGGTACTTACATTAAAAAAAAAAACACTAGTAGCAGAGAGCAAAAATATGTAATATCTTCAGCTAAATCTTTCTTTCTTATATGTAAATTGTGTAGAAAATGATAATAATAATAAATGGTGCTATAAGTAAAGTAAATTATTATATAATGCCCTACCATTAATATACATAGGATAGGCGTTGGTAAGCAATACATCACTGCGCCGACTATAAATACTCTTAAACAGACCATAGCAAAGAGGAGTATGCAAATTATTGTACCACGTTCGGTACAATTAGCAGGCTTTCACAATAGGATGCCACATTTGCTAGACTTCTATACACTTGGGATTTGAAAGTCAACAGTAAGTGATGTCATACGTAAGTAGGAGAGAGGACTGGGTCTGAATCCGCCAAGGATTTCCCAGCAAACTGGCAGAAAGAGACGAGAGTCTTGTGAAAACGATGCGTACAGACTGTACATTAAAGCTGTCTGAGGTTATACAAACCGTGTGCGAGAGTTCTATGTTATGGGTTGCAACGATCGTGCAGTTGTTCTTAAGCCATTGATCATGACGAATGCTAGATGTCAATTGACATAGTGTAAGAAACGAAAATCTTGGACTTTAAATGGTGGAAATCCATTCTATGAACAGTTGAATCAAGGTTGAAAGTCTACCAGCTGGATGCACGTACTTGGACCTGGGTTTGGCGAACAATTTCAGACTGTATCGTTCCAACGAAGATTGGTGGAGCCGGTATAATGGTTTGGAATCTTAATTGTTATCGATAAAATCATGTTTGCTGTGAGATGTCTGGACATTTATGTACCCCAGACTATAAAAAGAAGGATCACAAGGTGTAAAAAAAAGGCTTCGTACACTATTCAAGGGGATTCAAACCCCACGATTCGACATCGGATTAGCGTTCCCACAAGTAGCGCTGTTTGCACTCTGGGCTAACTTCGGTTTGAAAACAAGGAATGGAATTTTTGTCAACATACGACGGCTTTAAATGGGTCAATAAACAAATGTCGTTCATTAGTTTCTTTTATATTTTCAGAATAGTCTAGAAGTCACGAATTTTTTGTTGTTTGAGGCCCCCTTAGGGATTAGGAAAAGGGCAACCGAGATGAAAAGGGGGAATGCGCCCTAAGTGCACAATGTACGGTCGCCCCTGGAAAGGCTTCTAAATCTACCAGAAAGATAATATATCCTGACACATTTTTGTTGTAATGAATTGTTTTACAAACAACGGGTGTTGAAAAGTTGGATTGGCCGGCCTAAAACCACAATCGGAGCACCGAATGCACGTGAGGACCATCCAAAAAAACAAAGATAAATTGGTGTGCCGTGTAAAAAGTTGTGTGAAGAAATATTTCATTGGATATTTATTTAAAAAGTTGGTGGAGAGTGTGCCACGAAGAATAAGATCCATCACAGCAACCAAAGGTTTCAGTTTAAGATATTAGAAACACAATAAATCACAAAGCCTTGAAATCCGGATATTAATGTTAGTGTATCGTATTGTTATAGCTGTTAGGATGAATTTTATAAGTTTTATTCATCTATAAACGTAGTAAATTTAGTTGTTTTGGCATCACAATAGCAAAGAAAGATAAATGCTTCAATGAAATTCTTGCGCGATGGACTGAATTATTTTAAAATTATTATATAACGAAGAAATGTTGCAAGATATATACAACAGAAGCTAAAATAGGCAGTATTTCAAGATTTATGAGAGATAATTCAGGAATTACGTTGCGCTGAGACGTCGTTGCTCAATTATCTAAGTGACGAAATGAAATGATAAATGATTGTAATGTAATTTATCTTCAACTAAAACATACCTCAGACATTTTATAAATATTGCAAATTAATCCAGAAATAAAATAAGATAATTTTTTTAATACTTTCCCGGCTATTATATATAACAGAGGGAATAGATGAAAAAATAANTTCGGTAAGTGATGCTATGCGCGTTTAATTATTGGACTTTATTTGTTTTCATACCTAATACTTGCTACCATTGCTTTTAAGTTTTCAGATTGGGTCGGGAGATGTTATAAATTTAAAGCCATATTTCCCGAACCAATTGTCCGATTTATCTGAAAATTTATACAAACTTTCCTCCCTAAAACATAAACCTCCCTGCAAAAATTCAGAAATTTTCGACAAAGGGCACAAGAGTAATTAAGCTTCAAATTGGATGAAAAATTTGTGTCTTCCACTCACATATAGAAAAAAAATCCCCAAATGTTTTTGCATTTCTCGACGTCTGAAAGTCCTCCTAGTCCAAAAACGTAGGTGTTGGGGGGTCACATTTTGACGGATTATATTTTCCCTCTGTTATATAACAGCAGGGAAAGTAATACAATTAAACTTCAATTTAGCACCAATTTATTTGCCTCCGAAATCATCGCTAAACTAAAGTATCTCATACAGTGAAAATTATGTATAGTAATGAGATATGAGCACAAATTTAAATCTGGTGTATTATGTAAAGTTATATTTTTAGAATTCTTGATCACGTCTAGAATTTATTTTATGGCTGAATATAGTAAAATATCTTTCTACCTGTTAGATCTAACTGACCTTGACCTATAAAGCATTGATTTACCTTCCATACTGAACTAGTTCCTTAAGGAAAAAATAGTTTCAGAAATAAGTCTAATATATTTTATCCTCGTAAAAAGTATTTTTTACGTAATTTTTATGAAAAAAAAATATTAAAAAACAAACAACGAAAAAAATTCTTGAAGTGTGAACATTTTCTAGAATGAATTTATACATTTAAACTGAAAATCCAATTAAATAAATAAATAATTTATTTATTTAATTGGATTTTCTTGATTTAACAGAATTTAAAATTAAAGAAATTTTTTTAGATTTTCTAATACTTTAATTAAAAAGTTATACTTATTATAACCAATTTTAACCAATTTACTGTTCAATTTACTACAAAAAAATCTCTCATTCTGTGTTTAATATGGTTTAATTTATCCAAATTTAACCAATTTACTGTTCAATATGTTTAAAAAAATCATTAAACTAGATATATTTGAATAAACTGAGTACATTAAACATAAAGTCGATGCTTTTTTTTAATATATGTGATATATGAGCGTTCGAAAATGTCGGATGTTCTGTCAATTTCTAAGATGGAGGAGCACAGAAGTGTAATTCGATTTTTGTGAACGACTAGCAAGAATGCCCTCAAAATTTATGGAGAAATGAGTGCTGTGTATGGGGACAATTCCCCATCGTTGCGAAGTGTGAATTGATGATGACACCATTTCACACTTCGAGCATCCAGGATGCCACAGATCATGCTGTTCTTCATGCATCATCTGATTGGTACCTTTTTCTTGGCCTCTTAAAGAAGGAGTTAAC